CCCAGGACTCCAGGATCATGACCTGAGCCGAAGGCAGTCGCTTAACCAACTGAGCCACCCAGGCGCCCCAGAGAGTTGTTTAATGGCTGCAGTCAGCTATGCAAGATGAAAGAGCTCCAGAGATTGGTTGCATAACAATATGAATGTACTTAACACTACTGAACTGTACACTTAAAAATGGTTAAGATGGCAAATTTTACGTTAGGTGCATTTTACAATTAAAAAAAAAAGTGAATGTGCCCAATTTTACTTGGTAATGAGTAGATTGCTTTGGCCCAAAGCCAGAAATCTAAATCCTGGCACCAAATAAAAAAATTATACACTTTCTTAAAATAAATGAGGAAAAGGGGCGCTTGGGTGGCTCAGTTGGTTAAGCGTCCGACTCTTGATTTCAGCTCAGGTCATGATCTCGGGGTTGTGGGATTTAACCCGGTCCCATTCAGGGATCCACAAAGAGTCTGCTTGTTCCTCTCCCTCAGCTCCTCCCCCTGCCACCCTCCTCCCCACCACTTGCACTCTCTTTCTCAAATAAATAAAATCTTAATAAAAAAATGAGGAAAAAACTCACTTATCCATTTTAGATCAAAGTAATAACAAGAGCTACTGTTTAGTGAATGCCTTCTAAGTGCCATGTACTTTAGAAATATTACCTTTAATCCTCACAAGGTAGAAAATATCTCTATTTTATAAATGAGGAAACTGAGGCTCTTTAAGGTTTTGAAATTTCCATAGGGTAGAAGTGGCAGAGTCAGAATTTAAATGCACTGTAATTGCTTTCAAAGCTCATGTTCATTCCCCTCTACCATAGGGCTTGCTGGATATTAAGCTTGTGTTGGGATCCTTTGATTGTGGTATTTCTTTCACCTTAGCTGCTAAGTATCTAGAATTAAAAAGGTCAGGGGAAGAAGAGAAATCACTCTTTCAGCACTCCAGGCCTATGCAGGAGGTATTTATGCCTTACTTATAGCAGATAAAATGCAACCACTAGTATTACTGATACCATTCTGAAGGTTTTTTGTTTTTTTTTTTTATAAAGATTTATTTATTTGACAGAGAGAGACACAGCGAGAGAGGGAACACAAGCAGGGGGAGTGGGAGAGGGAGAAGCAGGCTTCCCGCCGAACAGGGAGCCCGATGCGGGGCTCGATCCCAGGACCCTGGGATCATGACCTGAGCCGAAGGCAGATGCTTAACAACTGAGCCACCCAGGCGCCCCCATTCTGAAGGTTTTTAAAATTTGGGTGTAGTCTCTTTATTACATTCTTTATGGAAATATTTAATTAGACTATGTATTCTTAATTTTAGTTAAAATCATGCCTGGCATGTTGCCTCAGAGCCCCTAGCAACTTATCTTCCACAAAGGCCCTTTCCTATAGTTTTAAAACAAGGAGTATTTAATAAGGTTACATTCTTCAGCATGTGGATTTCAAAGAAAATAACCCTCAGTCCATCTGACTTTTTAATATGCTGCTAGTGTGTAATTCATTACGTGAGACATTTATATGTGAATTTCTCTCTATATTCTAACATTTGCTAAGTACTTACTTATACCAGGTACTGTGCTAAATGTTTTACATGTATCAACTCAGTCATACCTCCAAATTATTCCATGAAGTAGACACCATTCTGAGTCCTACTTATAGATGAGGCATAAAGAAGTTAATTAATTTGCTCAAGGTCTGACAAGTAGTAAGTGGTTGAGCAGGGTCTTAAACCCAGAAGTCTGATTTGAGAGTGAGTTTGTGGTCTGGTGAGCAGTATGGTTCAGCATGTGGCTTTTTTCTACTAGAGTAGACAGTTTTTGGCATAGCAATGACTCCCAAACTGATGACAAGGGCAACCTGAATGCATATAAAAATAACATTTATTAACTTAGGCTGTACCATACACTGATTTAGTCAAACCATGAAACTTACATAAAAACCCAAGTAAAATCCTTAAGACTCCATTCAACCTGAATTTTATATTCGGGATAGGACAGGAAACTATCTTTTGCTTAAAACGAAAGAGCAAAATGGCTTCAATTCCATTTTGTAGGAATGCATACCTGTGGGGAGCCAAGGCCATGCCAACCAGGCACTGTGCCTGACCTAATGAATTTGCTGCCCATGTCACCAGCCAGCCTGCCGCCAAGAGCTCAGCTGCAGTGCTTGCTTCTTTGCTATTAAGGCAACAGCCTTAGGATCCTTGTTATAAAACTTCAAACAAAATTCCCAAGCTCTCACATCTTCATTGAGGTGGCAGATGTACTATTGGTTTGCAACCCAAGGTAGTCTAGAAGCTGCAATCACTCTGTTGTAGCCTTTTGTGCTTTGGCAGCATTTTCCAAAATTTTCCTTTTCCATTCTTCATAATCCTGTGTCAGATCGTCATCTTCTTGCAGTTTATGTGAGCTTTCTACTACCTTCTCTGTTTCTGTAAGAGAAAATTTTCAAAAGTGTTTCAAAATTCTTATGCTGACAAGTAAACAAGTAAACTTGTTTGAAGGATCTAATTAGTTAATTAAAAATAGGGACTATCATGCTGAAATGAAAAGTGGAAACAGCAGCTAACACATCAGTTTTTTGCTTATACCCCAAGCACTCCACAACGTCCTGTAAGTAGTTAGCATTTATCAAGCACTTACCCTGTGCTTCAAGGCACTGTACCAATCACTTCAATAGCATCATCTCATTCAACCCTCACCACAATTCTATGAAGTGGGTGCTAATATTAATCACAACTTTATAGATTAGGAAATGAGGCTTACAGAAATTAAGTGACTTTCCTAAGTTATGGAGACAGTGGGTGGTAAAGTAGGATTTGAACCTAAGCAGTCTGGCTTTAGATGTGTTCTTACTTATATAGTATTTCTTTTTTTTTTTCTTACATAGTATTTCTGTTAACTTCTGTAAATGACTACTTGGAAAACTGGTCTTATCAAATGATTGTCTTGATTTATTTAAAACCTGACTTTTGTCAGGCAAGTAGCACAGGACTAGTCACTGCATGAAACCCACTGTACACCTAATCCCATTGCACTAATTTCAAAGTCTGTCCAGTGTTAGTATGCCTTACCCTTTGCTAGAGGTTCAGCCATTGTCTTCTTTTTCTTCTGTGGTGGAGCAGCTGAATCTCCAGCCTCTCCTTAAGGAAAAAAACATGTGTCATCAGGGCTAAATTTTCTCCTATTCTCAATTTTTGTAGTTGGGCTTATTTTGGATCACCAAAAAAAAAAAAAAAAATTAGACACCTTGACTGACCAAATACAAGGATAAAGAGAAGGCAAATGATCTTGCCCTTCTCTTCCTTGGTTTCTCTTGTCAGACTTAAGAATCTTTTCTATTCTAGTTTATGTATACGGAGGCTGGCATTTAACATTGGAGCATGTTAACAGAGAATCTGTTTTTTCAGGCATGGAGTCATACAGTCACAGGTGTTTTAAAGGTTATTAAGCTACTTTACTTGAAAAACAAAAAAATCTCTCACTAAAAACTTACCTGGTCTTACATTAAATACAGAATTCAGAAAGCGGCCATTTTGCAAGTTTGAAAATATTAAGACTTTTACCAGCTGGCTTACATTTTCAGATGACACATTCTTGAAATATGGAATGAATACTCACTATCAGCCTGCTGCCCAATCTTCTCTAATTGTTTACATAGTCGATCAAATATGGCTTTTTTTACACCAGATGTAGCTACCATTTTATTTTTATCCACCTTTAGCTTTAGAATCCTACAAAAGAATTTGACAAATTACTGTTTTTAAGACCAATATAGTTATCTTCTCTGGCCAACCAAATTATTAACTTATTTCCTTTCCACCCATGCTTTATGAAGAGTTCCCAACTGTTTAGTTTTCCCTTTATTCCAAACATATATTATTAGCTATAACTATGTAAACTTGTCTTTTAAAGCTATTTAGTTGTTTATTGGACTGAGTCAAAATATACATGAGATCTGCTATGTAATAAAAGGGGCGCATAGAAGACATTTCTCTTGAAGCTCTAGTGCTTCATGCCTCAAAGAATTCTTTCTTAGTGAATCTCAGATGTTAATGATTTGCTGAACTACTTACCACTCCATAACAACTACTAATGAAATATACAAAACAGACTTCTTATTTAGGATAATAGATCAAGTCAAACCTTTCTTTGCTCAGTGTAATTTGGTTTCAAAAGTGGGGTTACTTGTCAATATTGTTTTTTCCAATAGCAGCCATACTCCTTCTCTATATACACATATCTTTGTTGAATCAAAGGAACATTTTCTATGAATGCCAATTAATCGCTCCTAAGTATGTGGCTAATAGAGCTAAACAACCAAAATTAGAGGCTGGGTAGTAATAAACCCAGTCTTTAAGGGCCAACTACATTTTATTTTCTTTTTTTAGAGATTTTATTTATTTATTTGACAGAGAGAGAGACAGCACAAACAGGGGGGAGCAGCAAGCAGAGGGAGAGGGAGAAGCAGGCTCCCTGCGGAGCAGGGAGCCGGATGTGGGGCTCAATCCCAGGACCCTGGAATCGTGACCTGAGCTGAAGGCAGATGCTTAACTCTCTGAGCCTCCCAGGCACCCCCACCTTTTATTTTATTAAGGAGTTTTCCAGCAAGATAAAACAAGACAACTTTAGAAAAAAATAACAATTATTAATAATTCCAAGGTAACATTTCGGTATGCACAAAGATAACCCCAAATTTTAAGATCCAGATGTAAACATTTATCATTGGTGTTTTGTAAATTATTTGAAAAAACAGTTGCAATCAGTACTTTAAAAAAATGTATGACTGGAAAAATCACAAACAACAGTTTCAATGACAGATTTCATCACTTAAAAAAGGTGGAGCCTGGGGGTGCCTGGCTGGCTCAGATGAAGAGCATGTGACTCTTGATCTCGGGGTTGTGAGTTCGAGCCTTACGGTGGGTGTATAGATTACAAAAGAAAATAAAAAATTTAAAACAAAACAAAACAAAAAAGGTGGACCCTGAAAACAGAATACCCTGCTTATATATATAGCTGCCATTTGGCAAGTAGACTTCTGGCAATAGGGGTTCCAAATTGTCAGCTATATTGTGGGATAAACAGAACCTGGTCACTCGGCCACTATTTCTAATATTATTTATATGGGAAAACATGCTCTGAGTTGAAATAAACTGTAATTAGAAGCCCTTTTTGGGAATGGGAAATCTATTTGTAAATTGTGGACTTTCCTCAAGGTTAAAAGGCACACTTACTTGCATGCTGACAATAATGCAGCAGTGGTGAAAAGTGGCCTGGATAAGTCGAGATCCAACTGCTGTGTTTGCGGAAGACTGGATTCATAGCTAAGGGAAAGCAGTATTTGCAGAATTATTTGTTAAAAAATATTATTTCAAAGAGACTGAAAATGTAAATCAGAATTTGTAAGCTATTTAAATGTACAAGATAATGCATTATGTCACCTTACCATATTATTTTTTTTTTTTTAAAGATTTTATTTATTTATTTGAGAGAGAGAACACATGAGAGGGGATAGGGTCAGAGGGCAAAGCAGACTCCCTGCCGAGCAGGGAGCCCGATGCGGGACTCGATCCAGGGACTCCAGGATCATGACCTGAGCCGAAGGCAGTCGCTTAACCAACTGAGCCACCCAGGCGCCCCCATATTAGTTATTTTTTAAGACTGAAAACAGGACATTAGATAATTCTGCTTTATGTATCAGTATAAATTTTCAGTTAAGGTTCTTTATGCTTCATACCTTTGCAATATCTTTGAAGCCATGTTCACTGCTTCTGTACAGCTAAACTGTACAGCTAGGTCTCTTATTCCAATATTTGATTTCAGGCCCAGTAAACACTCAAAGGATTTAAGACAGCTCTGATACATCTTCTTGTTCAAACCAGAAAGTTTAATTAAATAAGCCTTTGAAAGAAAAAAATGCACTAATCATAAAAATTATAATCATAATCATTCTATATATTGGTGCCCTTAAACACTTGTTTAGTAAGTCAACTTTTCAAAATTAATTAATTCTGTGGCAAGTGGCTCTATCTAAAAGTTTAGCTTCATTTAGTCAAAAGTCAGTAATCACGTCAGGCAGAGCTGAGCACTGCTCTCAAGGGGCTCACAATAGACAGTCATGCATAAGCACAGATAATTTAAAAAACAAGTGTTACTATAGCCAAGCTGTGAATAAAAACACAGGAGACACATACATGGTCACCTGTTTTTCAAGGAAAATGCCAATGTGTAATTCACTGGGAAAAGGAAGGAGGGAAGTAGTGGGAGTGGAGGTGGGAAGGATGAGTGTGTGGAGGGGAAAGGGAGAGAGGGAAACTGGGAAACAGGAGGATCAACAACTGAGGGAAAGCAACACTGCCTGGGAGAGTCAAGGAAAGCTTCATAAAGGATGTAACAACAAGGCAGAGTCATGTAAGACAAATAGAAGCTTGTCAGAAAAGAAATGCAGGTAAAAAAAAATGCATTTGCAAAGCTGTAAATCATTAAAGTGAATGGTCTGTTAAGTAAATAGTGTAGCTTGAGGTTAGTGTTCAAGAGAAGCTGGAGAATTTGACAGTAATGGGGAGCCAACCCATTGGGAGCTAATGGTGTTTTTAATACCATCATTATGTGATATGTACTGTTAAGTGTGTTACATATAGTATATGGTTTAATCCTCACAGTCTAGTGAAATGCATATTCTTATCCCCACTTTATGAATGAGAAAACGAAGCTCACAGAGCTAGTAACTGGTGGTATTGAAATCTGGTCTCAACATCGAACTCTTCCTGACTCCTAGCTTGTGCGCTCAACCACTGTGATACTAGAAGAAAAACACACATTGGTTTTAAAGCATGCACTTCAGGAGGATGCTAGCAGTGGCATAAAAGATGGTCTTGAGTAAAGAAAGAGATGGCCAAGAAAACTAGATAGTAAAGGAAATTTTCTGCAACTCGACAAAAATGATTTTAAAGTTCATCTAGAATAATCATATATGACAATAGCCAGGAAAATTCTAAAACACAAAAGTTTTGAGTCTAGTCCAACCAGAAATTAAAATGTACAATTAAGTTTCAATGTTGTAGAGGATTATTTAGACATTCAATGTGACCTACTTACTCTGTCCAAGGGGCACTTCATACAGGCAGCTGCAAGGTCCAGGCACATGACTGCACTGCTGGTTTCTGTGGTATGTGCAGATAGGCCATTACAGTTCACCTGGGACAGTCGCAAGTACTCCTCTGCTTTCCTGGTTATAAAGGCAACATGCTCATTGAAACTCTTTTCCAGAAGTTTGTTCAACACTTTGGTAAACAATGAATACAGCAGAGTGGATTTCATTCTGGGCCTAACTCCTATGCAAGTTTATGTGGGGGTGGGAATGAAAGGCACATCCTTTGGAGTTGTGGGACAATGTTTTCTAAGACAGAACCAGCCCTGACTTCAGACTCCACTGTGCTCAAGTACTTTTAAGCAAAAGTGAGTTCAATTTCTTACAACAAAACACACCTGCTTTCATCCTTCCATTACTGGGACAAACATGAACTTATCAGAGACGCTGGCAGTTATACCAGGGTTCCTTCTTTTTACCCCTTCCTTGAAATCAGTGATACCAAACTTTAATGTACAAGACAATCACCTTGGGGCTTGTGAAAACAGATTGCTGGGTCCTATCCTCAGAGTTTCTAATCAGTAGGCCTGAAGTGGGACCCAAGAATTTGCATTTTTAACGAGTGCCAAGACGATAGTGATGTTGCTGGTCCAGGAACCACATTTTGAGAACGGCTGTTCTAAATGATTACGGAGTTCAGGAGGTCTTACTTCAACTCTTTCAACAAGTGCTTTCCTTCCCCTCCCTCACTTAACTGAGCAGCAAGCCATTGGGCCTAGTCTTGCTCTTCACACTTCAGCCACAATAGTTTTATTTCTAACCCTGGATTATGCAAAGGGCTTATGCACAAGCTGTTGTCTCAGTTTGGGCCGCTCTTCCCACATCTTCCCATGGCTGGCACGTTCTATCAATCGGGTCTCAGCACAAGTGGCAGCCCTTCCGAGGCCTTTCTAAGATTTTTTTTTTTCAAATTTTTATTTAAATTTTAGTTAGTTAACATGTATCTAGGATGTTGTTGTTTTTAATGAAAAGCAGCCGCCAGGGCGCGCTCTGTGCTCCTCCCTCCCTCGACTCGGCACACCACGGTTTCGTTTTCCTCCTAGTTCTCGCCGTCATACAGTGACCTCCAAGGAGGTCTGCACCCCGCCGCTGTAAACAGACCGTCAGTAAGTATCTGCGGAACGACCAAAGATCGACTTTCCCCGTCCCACCACCGTGCATCCCACAGAGCCAGTTGTTCCCAAAGACGTCTACAATCGCCCCGTCTTGCCAGTTGATATAAGCCCACTGCTGGGAAGTTCTTGAGATAGGGCCTAATGCCACCCGGCTCCAGCGTCCCCCTCTCACTCGGCGCAGCCGCCCGACACGCGGGCCTCGCCTGAGGACAGTCCAAGGCCGCTGAGGTGTACGCCACCAGACCCACCTCAGCACATCTGGCTCGGCAATACCCAAGCGCGCCGCTAAACGCCGGATCAGCCCAGACTCCATGGCGCGGAAGACGACTCGCGCGAACCGCTGCAACGCGACGAAACCCGCGCGCAAACGCCGCGTCCGCCAGTGAGGGCCAGACCCCACCCCTCTGCTGCATCTGGATTGGTTGACGCGACGAGAAGTCGCGCTCGCTCCACAAATCAAGCCTCGTCTTCCTTTTGCTCATGCGCACCACCACTGCACACTCCTGGGCCGGTGAACAGTCCTGCTCCCCCTCCTTCCATTGCTCCCGTCTTGACAAATTCCTCAAACGATGCCTTTACTTCCTGCTGGCTCCTTCCTACCACCAAGAGATACCCTGCTACTCTGCACTTTTCTGCCCTCTCACACTGTGGAGAGACTGGCTGGCACCCAGGTCCGTCAGTCCACCGATAAGTGGCAAGAGCCAATAAACACGCGAGACTTGAGTTCCTAGAAGCGGGCCAATCGAGGAGCCGCCTGCGGGGGTCCGAGGGCGGGGCTAAAGAGGGCGGGGTTTGAAGAGGCCGCTGCGTCACCTGACCACGCGAGGCTCCGCGCCGGGTGGGTGCTGCTTGCTGCAGGCTTAGGAGAGTCGCCATGGTGAGTGTTGAGGGGCGGCGAGCGGCGGGCCGATCCCTCTCCCAAGCCCTGCACTTTCCCACCGCCCTGGAGCCTTGCGGGCGGAGTTGGTGCCCCGCAGCCCGATCAGGACTAAGACCAGCCGGGCTTGGCCTGCGGGTTGAGGACAGGCCGGGGAAGGCCGCAGGCGGGCTGATCCGAGATCGGGGTGGGCGGTGGCTCCTGATAGCGGCGGTTGCCCAGGAATGGGACGGCCTTTCTGAGGGGGTGTCTCGACCTGTAGGCTCTGAACTCCGTGGAGGCCTGCCGCCGCCTCTGATGGAGTCGGCCACCACCGCGCCTTGAGGGGACGGGTCTGAGAGTCAGGCTGGGTCGGGGGCGTGCGAAGGGCCTGAGACTCGGGGTGGCGTCGGGACCCGCCCAGAGGTTGCTCTCTCGCTGGCGTGCGTTTCCACCTTTGTGCCTGATAGTGCTCTATTGGCCTCACGCCCTTTTCTTGTGCAAGAAATACCTACTGGAGGGTCCAAATGGTGCCCTGCTCTTTTTCGGCCTCATAGTCCCGTTCCATTGCGGTGTTTGTCAGCGAATTCTAGGGACTCGCTTACGTGAATTTCCTGGAAGGACTCATGCTGTCTGATATCCATTAGTTCTGATAGAGAGAAAGGAGACTTTTTGTTTCCTTTAATATTTGTTCATTGGACACCCTGGCTCTCTTACATGTCTCCCCATTGATGAAATCCAAGTATTTTATTTGCTGGAAGTAGGCCTTCGTTCTTGTTAGCGCCTCTTCGTGATGGCAGCAAATCGCGGTGTGGCTGTTGGCCTGTAAACTTGAACTTCCTCAAAATGTGAATCCATGTGCCTAGTTTTCACAAAGGCAAGTTGTCACTTGCATTTCATTAGCTTTTGACATAGTCTGCAGTGTATAAATAATGTTTTTGAATGTTGGTGTGCTGTATGGCAATTTTAATTCTCTCATTATTTACTTCATGTAGACAGGTTTCTTTAAATCTGTAAGCCTGGAAACAGGCTTCACTTTAGATGTGTTAATGCCAGAAAGTAGGATTAAATGTTTGACATGTACTACTTTCATATACTGTATTGCCATACAAGATGATTTTGTTTATTTCCCAGAATTTTTACTATTGGGAAGTAATATAAGGACAGTGTAAAAATTTAACTAGGGTTTGTCTGTTTCTCTGCATTTATGAATTGATATTTACAGTGTTTTATAATGGAAAGCACTTAATTGGGGATCTGCTATACATCTTGGTTCTGTGCTAGATGGACCAGTTTGGAGCAGTGAGCAGGACACACAGTCTTGTCCTCATGAACATTTTTGAGAAAGGAAACTTGGGTATCAGTCTTGTCACAGTCACTGTTTCTATGACTTGGGCAAGTCATTCAGTCTTGAGTCTCACTTTTGCATCCGAAAGTTTTTTTGTTTTTTAGATTTTATTTATTTTTGCTTCTTTGGCACTTCCCAGTCCTAAAATTCTGGGATCCAATTCAACTCATCAAGCATCTTGTATGCCTTCTAATATCATGGACTGCTGGGCACTAGAAACAAACATAGTCCTTGCTGTCAAATAGCTTAAGAGTCTAAGGGGGAGATATGCTTGTGAAACTTAATGTAATACAGTCTGAGGATTGCTTTATTAGCACTGTCAGCTCAGTGTTGTGGGGTCATGGAGGGAGAAAGGGGGCTTGAAAAAGACTACAGAAAGTAACGTGTGAACTGATACAGGGAGGAAGATAAGCAGAAATTCTCCAGGTGGAGGGGCGCCTAGGTGGCTCAGTTGGTTAAGCATCTGCCTTTGGCTCAGGTCATGATCTGGGGGTCCTGGGATTGCGCTCTAAGTTGGGCTCCCTGCTCAGTGGAGAGTCTGCTTCGCCCTCTTCCCCTACCCCTGCTTGTGTCGCTCTCTCAAATAAATAAATAAAATTTAAAAAAGAAAAAAATTCTCCAGGTGGAGAAGAAAAAGTGTTGCCAGTAGATGAAGCTGGGAGAAGTGAATATTCACGGTGTGTACCAGCATAGAATTCCTGGGGAAATGTATTGGTAAATGAAGTTGGAGCCAGTTTAGTGTTCAAATTATATGTTCCCAAGCCCTCATCATCCTTAATGCTCCCTACTTCAATTGTAATTTTGTGGCTTACAATTTTAAAAATAGTATTTTCATTAAATGTGATGAAATTCTGTGTCTTTGTGAGATTGGTTATTTTTGTTTTATAGTTGATTTACATTCTGTTGTTAGATTACATCTGCAGCATATCAGTGAAGAGATGGATCAACAAATGAGTTGCTAGGATGGGTGGAGATAATTGCTTGTATCTGAGGGGGCATAATAATAATGGTAACACTTATAAAGTGTTACTAAGTGCTAGGCATGTTCTGAGCTCTATCTGTGTCATTTCATTTATTCCTCATAATAGTAATATAAGTACTCTTATTGTCCCTTTTTAATAGAAGAGGAAACGAATGCACATTGGTGGAATGGAGAGTAGTTTTATAACTGATCTGTCCATGATGGATCACTTTCTCTGAACCTTACAATGATATAGACTTAGGAGGACTGTTTGTCCTAGGTCTCAAGCTAAAGTGAGCCTAGTTACAAATGTTAATTTGATCTTGTTTCTTTAGTGTTTCCATTTTTCTCTCATCCATGTAACTGATAAGTACAAAGTCATTTGTAAATGGAGAACTACTTCCATAAGTGAGGAGACGTTGATTACCTGGCTTGTGTTTAATGATAGCATGTTCATAACAGTTCTTACTGTTTTTGCTTTATGTGACAATTCCCAGGAAGGACATCAAGACACTCCCTTAGAATAGCCACATAATGACTACATTTGCATAACTACATTGTCTTGGGAGTGATATCTAAAAATACATTTCTTTAGGGATGCCTGGGTGGCTCAGGTGGTTAAGCGGCTGCCTTCGGCTTGGGTCATGATCCCAGGGTCCTGGGATCGACTCCCACATCGGGCTCCTTGCTCAGCAGGGAGCCTGCTTCTCCCTCTCTCTCCCTCTGCTTGTGCTCTGTCAAATAAATAAAAATTAAAAAAAAAATAAATAATTAAAATTCATTTCTTTATCATAGCTTTAGTTCTTCATTTGTAGCCTACCTTGTAATAAGTCTGTAATTTTCTATATTTTGTATTTGTTTCTATTTTAAACCCAGTTGATACAAAATAGAGTTCTGCTAAGGTTTTGTTTATAGATCACTGAATCTAGTGGATTCTATACAAATATTTTTAGAATTGTTTGCAGTCTCTTTGTTTTTGTTTGTTTGTTTTGTTTTTTAGATTTTATTTATTTATTTGCCAGAGAGAGAGAGAACACACGAGCACAAGCAGGGGGAGCTGCAGGCAGAGGGAGAAGTAGGCTCCCCACTGAGCAAGGAGCCCGATGTGGCACTCGATCCCAGGACCCTGGGATCATGACCTGAGCTGAAGGCAGATGCTTAACCAACTGAGCCACCCAGGCATCTCTGTAGTCTCTTTGTAACTACAGTTTTATTTGCTATATTAATGTTATTATACACAGTAGCCAAAAGGTGGAAGCAACCCAAGTATCCCATCAATAGAAGAATAGATAAAATATGGTATATAGATATGATGGAATATTATTCAGCCTTAAAAAGAAAGGAAATTCTGACAAATGCTACAACATGGATGAACCTTGAAGACATTATGCTAAGTTGAAATGGCCAGATACAAAAGAGTATGATTCTACTTATATGAGGTACCTAGAGAAGTCAGACTCATAGAGACAGACTCATAGAGAAAGTTGCCTGGGGTAGCAGTAGATAATGGGGGGTTATTGTTTTATGGGTATAGAGTTTCCTTTGGGAACGATGAAAGAATACTTGGAGATGGATGGTGGTGATGACCGTACAACAATGTGAATGTACTTAATGCCACTGAACTGCACATTTAAAAATGGTTAAAATGGGGCGCCTGGGTGGCTCAGTCGTTAAGCATCTGCCTTCGGCTCAGGTAATGATCCCAGGGTCCTGGGATCGAGCCCTGCATCAGGCTCCCTGCTCGGCTGGAAGCCTGCTTCTCCCTCTCCCACTCCCCCTGCTTGTGTTCTCTCTGTCTTTGTCAAATAAATAAAAATCTTTAAAAAAATAAAAATAAAAAATGGTTAAAATGGCAAATTATATGTTATATATATTTTACCACAATAATTATAAAAATTTCCTGATTTATCTCTAAGTTGGTCATCTGAACTTAATGAAATCCATTGATTCTAATAATTGTTAAATCTATTGCATCTAGAGATAAAAAGCCAAAAAAAAATCCAAACCATAGCTTGGTGTCACTGAAGTTCTCAGAGGACTAGCCCAGGATGGGTAGTGAATTTCATTAAGTCAGAATCCTCAGATGCTGGTGTTGTCTTTGCCTCTGAAACCAACATTTTACACTTGATAGTTCTGCTGTATAAATTAAGGTTCCCTTTAAGTTTAGTTTAAAAGTCACAACTTTTTCTTTGAAATTTGTATATGTTTGTGAAGAAGCGTGGTCATAGGGAAGCACAGGTTACTAGATTTGCTATAGGAAAAAAAATAGAGATGCTTGGCATTTCGTATTATTAATTTTTTTCTCTTTCCAAAGTTAGACCAAGAAGTTTTCCATTTTTATAAGTGATTCTAATTAAAAAATGGGTTTTATGTGGTTTTTGTTAATCTCAAATTCAGTGCTGTTTTGTCTAGATAATAAAACAGACCAGATTTAACTTTTAGGTTTATGGGTAAGTCTTTGCCTTCCTCCTTTCCATCTCATTGTATAAGAGGCATTTTACCTTTAAACATTTTTTTAAGTTGAAATTCATATAACGTGGGCACCTGGGTG